CCCCACGAGGCCCCAAGAGGCCCCTATGAGGCCCCAAGAGGCCCCCACGAGGTCCTCAGGAGGCCCCCGAGAGTCCCCCAAGCGGCCCCAGGAGGCCCCCCAAATGCCCCCCCGAGCGCCCCAGGAGTCCCCCAAGCGGCCCCAGGAACCCCCAAAGCGCCGCATTGACACCAGGCCCTCGGGCAAACGGCAGACATGAGACTGTATGGGCCGGCGGAATGAGCGAAGCGATTAAATAATACGATCATTCATGCGAAGAAGAAGAAACACAATCATAACAACGGCATAATAGAAATACAAATATTCAGCATCAGGAGGATAATCAGGAGGAGCAGCAGGAGCAGCAAGAGGAAGAGCATGAACAACAGCAGTAGCAGCATCAGCTGGAGGAACGGCCGGTGGATCAGCAAAGGGCAGCGCGAAGCATCAGGATGAGCAGCAAGTGGAGCAGCAGGAGGAACAGAAGAGCAACATAATCCGCAGCAAGCAGGAGGAGCAGCAGGAAAAGCAGGAGGAGCACTTGAGGAAGAACACCGCAGAAACAGGAGCAGGAGAAGTTTGAGGAGGATGATGAGGAGGAGGAGGACGAAGAGGAGGAGGAGGAGGAGGAGGAGGAGGAGGAGGAGGAGGAGGGGGAGGAGGATGAGCAGCAGGAGCGGGAGGAGCGCCGGAGGAGCAAAAACATCAAGAGCAGAAGCGGGAAGGGGGGGCAGCCAGAGGAGCAGGACGAGCAGCGGCAGGAGTAGCAGGAGTAGCAGCAGGGGACGCAGCAGGAGCAGCTGCAGTAGGATCATACAAATAGCAATGCGAAGGCCACTGCTAAGGAGAACGCGAATTATGGGAACAAGAAAATGCACGAGAAGAAGCCGTGCTAGGAGGAGCGGCAGGTGGAGACAGGAAGAGCAGCAGGAGCAGCAGGATGAGCAGCATGGGGGGCAGGAGCAGGAGGAGCGACAGGGCGACCAGGAGGAGCAGCAGGGAGTAGCAGCAGGGAGTAGCAGCAGGAGGAGCAACAGGGAGGGGAGAAGCAAGGAGGATGAGGAGGAGGATGAGGAGGAGGAGGATGAGAAGGAGGATGAGGAGGAGAAGGATGAGGAGGATGAGGAGGACCAGTGTAAAACCAAGAGTCATCAACGATGTTGGAATTAACCCTCCCTCCAAGCTCCCTCTTCATAAGCCCCCACAACGGTTCATTTCCATTGGGGGAACTGCCTCATTGGAAAACAACCGTTTGAAGATCCTGAAGCATGCCACAACATTGTTCTCTGGATTCCAACGCCACGTATCCACCTGACTGCTGCGTCTTGACGATCCGGAATCGTGCCAGAGCGCCATTTTTGGGACTTCAGCCCCGCGGATCAGCATAACTGTTGCACCCGCATAATCTGGAACCCGTCCAAAACACCATTCCTGGTACGTTGATCATGGGAATCCGTGAAACTTTTGCAAATTCTGAAAACGACCGTGCGCGGCGCTAAGGCGAGAACCACATGTTGAAAAGGAACCGCCCCCAATTCGTGAAATTCTTTCACATGTTTGAAACGAGTGCGCGCGGCGCTAGGGCGAGCGCCACATTTTGAAAACCACCCGCCCTCAACCCGTGAAGCTCTTTATTCAAAACGAATGTGCGCGGCGCTAAGGCGAGAACCACATTTTGAAAAGGAACCGCCCTCAATCCGTGAAGCTTTTGCAACTGTTTAGAGCGAATTTTCGCGGCGCTGAAGCGAGAACCACATTTTGAAAACCACCCGCCCTCAATCCGTGAAGCTCTTGCAAACCTTTAAAACGACTGTGCGCGGCGCTAAACCGAACGTCACAATTTGAAAACCACCCGCCCTCAATCCGTGAAACTCTTGCAAACGTTTGAAACGAATGTGCGGGGCGCTAAGGCGAGATCCACATTTTGAAAAACGCCCGCCCTCAATCCGTGAAGCTCTTGCATTTTTGTTAAAAAAACAAAAAAAACGAATGTGCGCGGCGCTAAGGCGAGCGCCACATTTTGACCCCCCCCCGCCCCACCATCTGTGAAATTGCTGCGACTATCAAACTTCAAGGTCACAGGTGGTGAGGAAGTCTCAAACGAAACGCCCGGCTCGCCCTAAAAACTCGCCTCGGGGTGCGACAGGGAGAAGTTCTCTGTAAGGAGAAGGAATTGAGGAGGATGAGGAGGAATGGAGGAGGAGGAGGAGGAGGAGCAGGAGGAGGAACAGGTGGGGCGTGGCTGGAAGCGTTCGTACCTTCCTTTCCACCCACGGCCCCGACCAAGCGACGACCCCTCCCCTTCGGCGGGGCGTCGCGCGGTAGCCTCGGAGCTGGCGTCGACGCGCATCGGCATCGGGGCCAGCACGGGCGCGGGGGGAATGAAATCCGACGCGAGCGAGCAACATCGGGGGGAACGCGGTGAACAGGGATATCAGACAAGGGAAAGGCAACAGGGGCGCAGGCAACGCGCGACATGTCACGAGGCATATCATAATGGATAAACTGGGAAATTGTAAAAATCACAGTTCGATTGTGGCCCATGACAGGGCGGCGGCAAGGCATTTCCACCGCGTGGACTCAGACGCTCGTCCACCGTGCCAGGAGTCGACGGCCAGGACATCGATCGAGACGGTCCTGACATCTGGCTTGACGAAAGAAGAGCACCCGACGGCGCAGTCGGAGCGCAGGGTGCAACCATCATCTCGTCCAATGGGGACCTCGACGAAAAAGAGCCTGACGAATCTGATTGGCTGGGCTCTGATGACGTGGAGGCGACTTCGATAGCATCGTCAACATCGCCTCGGGCGCTGATCATCGCCCGCTGGAGCGCGAACCGCTGGAGCAGGCACGTCTGCCGGCCACGTAGCGGCAGTCTGGTGGCCGACCGCAGCGCTTCCACATATGCCAGAGCCTGACATACATCGGTGGACGATCGAAAGCGTGCGACATCAGCCAGCAATGATGATGAAGGGCAGCCAGAAAAGACAAACGATCCTGTGAAGCCCAGACGCCCTCTAACCGAACAGGACATGTCTGCTCCCAGAGCCAGCGCAGCAAAGTGTTGGAGCCTGCTGCAATGCTTGATGTAATGGCCGATGCGATCCTCAGTGCCAGGGCAACCGTATATGCAACCCGCATGTCTTTGCATCCGCGTGTTAGCGCTCCACGCGCCAAGCCACGATTTGAGTACAATATCGCAGCATGCAGTAGGAAACTGCCATAGCTGTGCACGGTAGGAGTAGGAGGAGGGGGAGGAGGAGAAGGAGGAGGAAAAGGAGGAGTGCACGTACTCAAAGAGGAAGAGACGAGGGCAAGCGGGCAAGACGCGAGACGAGGGCAAATTGTTCGCACGCGTCAGTCCACTGGAGCCGGCCTACTTCCAGAGCGATGCTTTGGCAGCGCTCAACCCTTCAGCTATCGTGGAGGAGGAAAAGGAGGAGGAGCAGCAGTAGCAAGAACAGGGAGGAGGAGCAGCCGGAGGAACAGCAGGACGAGTAGCAGCAGGAGGAGCAGCAGAGGAGGCAGCAGCAGGAGCAGCAAGGGAGCAGGAGCGGCTGCGGGAAGGCCAGCCGGAAGAGAGCTGGAGGAGCAGCAAGAGGAGCAACAAGGAGTAGCTTTGAAGGGGCCCAGGGACACACAAACAAATACACACAAATCCCAGGATTCCCATATATATTCTTATATTTTCTGGGTTTTAGTCTTCCCTCCCACTTCCCATATTTTCCCATATTTTCTGGGCAATCGATGATTAATTGTGTCTGTGTGCGTTTCTCCTCCTGAAGCTTGAGCAGCAAGAAAAGCGACACCGCATTACCGGTGATCCTGGCTCTCCTGGCCTGACCGTTACAAGGGGAGGGGGAACGGGGCAGGGGGAACATGTTATCTTCCGGGTGGGATAGAACAGTCACGCACGATGTTGCTGTGAGCGTGCCGGTGTCAGCACCGCCACGGCGTGGTGCCTCTATAGCACTGATGAGGTTCGCCATGTCACACTGCATCTGGCTGAGGCCGTCGATGATGGGAGCTGGGAGCCCTGGATGCACCTTGGCCGTGGGTTGGTGCTTGCCACGGTGGTGTCATAGGCCTCGATGGCCGCGATGGTCGGGTGCTCGCTGGTATATGCCCGGGCGCCGGCCGATGCTGGTGTCATTCGGCGGTCGAGGCATGTAATGGCAGGAGGGAGGAGGAGGAGGAGGAGGAGGAGGAGGAGGAGGAGGAGGAGGAGGAGGAGGAGGAGGAGAAGGGAGGAGGAGGAGAAGGGAGGAGGGAGGAGGGAGAAGGGAGGAGGGAGGAGGGAGGAGGGAGGAGGGAGGAGGGAGGGAGGGAGGGAGGAGGAGGAGGAGGAGGAGGAGGAGGAGGAGCGACCGTACCAAGAAGGAACGAGACGAGGGCAGGCGGGCAAGACGCGAGAAGAGGGCAAGTGTCCGCGTGTCCGCTTGTAGGAGGAGGAGGAGGAGGAGGAGGAGGAGCAGGTTCGTGGAATGGTGTCTTCGCGTGAGATTCGGTGGCTGCTGCCGCAGGCAGGCTGCGGCGGCACGGCCGCGGCGCGCCCCAACGGTGCCAGGCAGGCGCTCGGAGCCGAGCTGTGGGAAGCTCTGACGCTGGCGCACGGAGTGAAGCCACGCGGAACGCTGCAGAGCTGGTGACGCGGGCCTCGGGCAACACGCACCTCTCCTCTTCTTAGCTGCCCCGATACGCAACACGTGACACGTGGCGTATTGATACGGAGCTCAACACGTGGACTGAAAACGTAGGTCCGACGCGATACGTTCGCCAAAACGTGGGAGATACGTGGAGCCAACACGCAACGTATTGACACGGACGTCTTCAACACGGGACGTGTTGCGTTTCAAAACGCGTGTATCGAGGCAACTAAGTGCAGAGCTGATGACGCGGACCTCGGGCAACACGCACCCCTCCTCTTCTTCCGCGTCCTCTTCCCTCTCCCGGAGCTCTCCGAGGCGGTGGCGGCGGGGCTCCCAGGCTCCGATCGCTCCCGCCGCCCACCCCTGCCCCGCCGCGGCTTGGCCGTACTTGGCGCCGATAACAATCTCGGGGGCCTCCCGCAGGTGGCTGCGCGGAGGAGGAGGAGGAGGAGGAGGAGGAGGAGGAGGAGGAGGAGGAGGAGGAGGAGGAGACTGACAATCGAGAGTGGGGATGGTGACGAGGAGGGGCGTGTGCACCACGGGGGCGAGCAACCGGGCCCAGGGGGCCTCTCGCAACGCAGTCGTGGGCTGCTTGAGAGCGCCCAAGAGAGCCGCAAGAGACCCCCAAGGGGGCCCCACAAGTGCTTGCAAAGCTTTCAAAAGGGCCCCCAAGGCCTCCAATATGGCCCCAAGTCAGGGGGACGTAAGACCTGGGTACAGTGGACTCGGAAATCCCCGACGAGGTCGTCAAAAAAATGACGAGGCCGAGCCTACATTTTGACGAGGCCTCCCGCTGCAGACATCCCACGAAACTCCTCCTCGTCAAAATCCGAGGCGCGGTCGTCAAAAAACGATGGCGAACCCGAGTCCTGGCAAACCCGGGTCTTACGCTCCCCCGACCAAGAGAGCCTCAAGAGAGCCCAGGCCTCCAACATGGCCCTGGGGCCCGTGGTGGCCCAACATGCCCTCAAGAGGCTCCCGAAGCGTGATTGCATGCTGCTGCACATCACACATCCCTGATTCGGTACACTCGCCTGGTGATTATTCCCAACCGTCCTGTGGTGTTGGGTCCTCGTTTTGAAGAGACGGCGCCCCGCGTCTCCTTCCTTCTTTCCTTCCTTCCTTTCTTCCTACCAACCTCCTCCCCTCCTCCCTCCTCCGCAGTTCGCATGCGTCTCTCCCACCCAGTACAGCGTTTCGTGGCCTCAGAGGGAGCTCCACCGAAGGTCCCGGTGGCGAAGTTCGCATGCGCCCCCCCCGCCCAGTACAGCGCTTCGTGACCCCAGAGGGAACTCCACCGAAGGTCCCAGTGGCGCAGTTCGCACGCGTCCCCTTCCAGTACAACGTTTCGTGGCTCCAGGTGGACCTCCACCGAAGGTCCCAGCGGCGCATATCGCATGCGTCCCCCCTACCCAAGACAGCGTTTCGTGGCCCCATAGGGAGCTCCACCGAAGGTCCCAGTGGCGCAGTTCGCACGCGCCCCCCCCGCCCCGCCCACTACAGCGTGTAGTGGCCCCACAGGGAGCTCCACCGACAATCCCAATGGCGCAAATCGCATGCGTCCCCCCCGCCCGGTACAGCGTCTCGTGGCCCCAGGGGGAGCTCCACCGAAGGTCTCAGGTGGCGCAGTTCGGTTCGCATGCGCCCCCCCCACCCAGTACAGCGTTTCGTGACCCCAGAGGGAGCTCCACCGAAGGTCCCAGTGGCGCAGTTCGCATGCGCCCGCCCTGCCCACTACAGCGTTTCGTGGCCACAGAGGGAGCTCCACCGAAATTCCCATTGCCGCAGTTCGCATGCGACCCCCCCCGCCAAGTACAGCGTGTCGTGGCCTCAGAGGGAACACCACCTAAGGTCCCAGTGGCGCAGTTCGCACGCGTCCCCACGCCCAGTGCAGCGCTTCGTGGCCCCAGAGGGAGTTCCACCGAAAGTCCCAGTGGCGCAGTTCGCATGCGTCCCCCCGCCGAGTACAGCGTTTCGTGGTCCCAGAGGGAGTCCCAGTGGCGCAGTTCGCATGCGTCCCCCCCACCCAAAACAGCGTTTCGTGGCCCCATATGGGGCTCCACCGAAGGTCTCAGGTGGCGCAGTTCGCATGCGCCCCCCCCTCCCCCCGCCCAGCACGGCGTTTCGTGGCCCCGGCAGGAGCTCCACTGAAGACGATACTCACAACTGCGGCAACCACAAATGCGTATGGTTGGTTTCTTCGCAAGTGTATGTTTGTTGATGGGCTGGTGGGGATGCGCGAAGTGTTAAACATATTGACTAGTTATGACTCCATTCCAGTAGGAGTACTCGTGCACCAAACGCCGCCACCCACCAAAGCTATGCTTGGATACATGTGGGTTAATGTTGGTCTCTCCTTGACCCCTCCCACTCCTCGTCCTCCTTCATTCTGCTCCACTCCGGCGCTCACGTTTTGCCCGCCATGTAAGACGGCTTCCCAATAAAGACCTTCTCAAGTGGCGCGAGCATCACATGCGTTTGTACATCACACCAGAAAAGAGAGCTTTTCAGGCGCCTGAACTGAGCAACGGCCGAGGATGAACAATTTCTTGACCTGCCTCTCATTCGATATTATTGGGGTCATGCTGAGTTTACGGGTCAAGTTGTACGATCGCTTAAGAGCTGGACGAGTATGGGCAAGAGAGCTGCACGCGGATGATGGGTGCATATGTTGTCATTGCTGCTTATAGCCCGAATAATCGCGATACTTCTCGAGGCGATGGCTGATGATGGAGTCGACGTGACGGCACCATCCACTGATGTATTGAGCCCATGGTTACGACGACCCTTCCGTACATTACCTGTCGAGCGGTAGCGAATGGACGATGTTATGAAAGGTAAACGCAAGTCCGCGGGGAAGGAAGCAAGAGTTGAACAAGGACGAGACACACGAGGAGTACTATGATGAGAACGCATGCAAGAGACATGCTCAAGAAGAGCGCATGGAGCAGCATAATGGGTTTGCGGACGAAGTCATCATCAGTCCCGCGGCCCGATAGAATCGGCTCACGAGGTATGGCGTGATCTCGACCTGCGATCGAGGGAGCGAGGAGCCTTAATATCCAAGTCTTTCTCTCTCTCTCTCTACTATCTCTCCATTTGTCCCCTCCCCTCCTCTCCACTTCTCCTTCCATCCCCCTTCTCGTACCATCCCCTTCCCTACCCCCCATCGCCTCGCCTCCTCACCTCCGTTACTGGAGTCCTTTTTCTGGACGCTACGGGATGTTCATATGGCAATGGCGGCCGTCCGAACAGCTGTTGAAGGACTTGACTGGCACACTTGCGCTACAAAATCGCAGCGCTCCTCTGGTTAATTCTGGCATAATCATTCCTGCTCCCCATCCTCGTCTTCGTCCGGTATATCTCCATAAGCTCGCGAGACGTTCTGGAGCTCGCGAACTCTGGTCTAAATCCATACGATAAGTGCACTGGGTATCGCATCATGCCATCGCCCTTATCCCATTCAACTTACATCCAATATGATTGCAAGTTTGAAGCGTGAACAAGAAAAGCGCGAAGTCGAGTGCCTCATCACTACAATATACAGGACACGTAACCGTGTAACTTTCGAGCTAACGAGAGGGACGTATAGAAACACACATGTCAGATGTGGCACGGGCTATGAATATAGGGCATTCCATACAAGCAAATGGATGCGTTGTTCGAGAACATCGGATGGTACCTGAAATATGGATATACCTGTAAATACGTGTATATATATATATATATGTGTGTGTATGAACCCATGAATAAGCACTTTGGATATGTGTGCGTATATGCGTACAGTATATATACTAGAACCATCGCGCACGCTTCGCGCGCGTTCAGGTTCTGGCGCAGGCGGGGGGGTCGCTGGAAGAGGTTGACACGCTATCATGCACAAGCGCGTAACATCGTCGTTCGTAACCATCCTCATCCTCGTTCCCGTCCTCACCCTCATTTCCCTCCTCACCATCCCACACATCGTCATCACAATACGTTTCATGCTCATAAGCATCATCCCGAATAAAAGCAATAGCAACATCGTTGGGAGCATCATTGGCCCAGTGCTGCTAGTCATGCGGTGACGTCAAACTCGCTCATCATCATCATCATCATCATCATCATCATCATCACCATCGTCATCGTCATCGTCATCGTCATCGTCATCCTCGTCCTCATCCTCGTCCTCTTCCTAATCATCATCACCACCACCATCACCATCATCATCACCACCACCATCACCATCACCACCACCACCACCACCACCACCATCATCATCACCATCAGCACCATCATCATCATCATCATCACCGTCATAGTCCTTATCACCGTCATCTTCCGAATCACCGTCATCATCATCATCATCATCATCATCATCAGCATCATCATAATCATCATTACCACTCCCATCGCCATCATCAACACCGCTACACTGGTCGGGCCTATCGTCGCCATTATCGTCTTACCCCTCCTCCTCCTCTACCTCCTCATCCTCCTCCTCCTCCTCCTCCTCACCATCATCATCATCACCATAGTGAATCGGAAGTGAGGGGGTGAGATCGAAGTGGAACGGAGAGCCCCCCTACCGGGATATCGGTTTCGGTTTCGTGTTCGTGCGTGCCGTGCGTGCGGGCGAGGCGAAGCTGCGTGGGCGGGCGAGAAGAAAGTCTCCTCCGGCTGAGGCGCGGCCGGACCAAATGATTCCTTTCCGGGGGCCCGTGGCCCGCGGTGTCCCGCCGGTGTCCCGCCTCCGGCTGAGAAGCAGCCAGACCAAATGATTCCTTTCCGGGGGCCGGTGGCCCGCGGTGTCCCGCCGGTGTCCCGTCGGTGTCCCGATGATGATGATGATGATGATGATGATGATGATGATGATGATGATGGTGATGATGATGATGATGATGTCGATGATGTTGTTGATGATGATGATGGTGATGGTGGTGATGATGGTGCCCCGATGACAATGATGATGATGATGATATTCACGAGGTTGGTGACGATAATGATAATGGTGATGGTGATGATGATGGTGTCCCGATGATGATGATGTTGATGATGATGTTGCTGATGATGATGGTGTCCCGATGATGATGCTGATGATGTTGATGATCCTGATGATGTTTATGATGATGAGATGATGATGGGATGATGATGAGAATGAAGGTGATGATGATGCTGTTGATGATGGTGATGATGACGATGTTGATACTGATGATGTTGATGATGATGAAGATGATGGTGTCCCGATGATGGTGGTGGTGATGATGAGGATGATGATGAGGTGATGATGATGATTTTGATGATGGCGGCCCGATGATGGTGATGATGTTAATGCTGATGTTGATGATGATGATGTCCTGATGATGATGGTGATGATGATGGTGACGAGGATGATGGTGTCCCGATGATGATCATGGTGATGATGATGATTATGATCTTGCTGCTGATGCTGATGGTGTCCCGATGATGATGCTGATGATGATGATGTTGTTCATGATGCTGATGTTGGTGGTGATGATGATGGTGGTGTTCCGATGATGATGCTGATGTCCCGCTGATGATGATGTTGACGATGATGGTGATGCTGGTGACGATGATGGTGTCCCGCTGATGATGATGCTGATGATGATGATGGTGGTGGTGGTGATGATGATGATGATGTTGATGATGATGGTGATGAGGTGATGATGATGATGGTGTCCCGATGATGACGATGATGTTGATGACGCTGATGACGAAGATGTTGATGATGATGATGATGATGATGACGTTGATTGTGAGATCGATTGTGAGGCCGAATGTGAAATCGATTGTGATATCGATAGTGAGATCGATAGTGAGATCGATAGTCAGATCGATTGTGAGATCGATCGAATGAAATAGATCGAGTGAGATCGATCGAGTCAGATCGATCGAGCGAGACCGATCGTGAGACCGATAGTGAGATCGATAGTGAGACCGATCGAGTGAGACGTTGGTTCCTGCCCCCCCGAACCTCCTTATCACCCGAAGGGTGGTCGTATAGGTATCAACATCGTCATCGACGTCGTCGTCGGCCCGATTTTCCTGGAGAGGCCTCTCGAAATATCTGGCCGACTGCGAGCCTCGGGGAGCCTCTCGGCGGCGTTTGGGGGGGGGGGGGCGGGGGCGGGCTCCGAGAATTTGTTGGATCTTCAGAGCCTGCACTTTCTATTTGAGGACTCAGGCATCTTGTTGGACTCTTGGGAGCCTCTTGGGGGGCACCCTGGAGGCCTCTCGGGGGCCTCTTGGTGCTGCCTTGGGGCCTCAATGGGGGCCTCGCAGGATGTCTTAGGGCGTTTTGGGCCCGTCTGACGCTGTCGGATGCCGTCAGGCTGGGCTCCTCGGCATCGCTCGAGTCGTTTGGGAGGCGCTTGACGGCTCTTGGAACCATCTTGGTGGCCTCTGGGGCTCCTCTTGGGGCTCTCTCGGGCAAATTGGGGTCTCTCCAGCAGCCTCAGGGGCGGCCGCCGGATTGAGAAGGAGTCAGAAGCATCACCATTGTCATGATGATGATCGTCCCCGTCATCGTTCTCGTCACCAGTATCATCAGAATCCGCATCTTCAATATCGAGACCATCACCGTCTTCATCATCGATTCCATCCTCAACATCGGCATCATCGTCATCGTCATGAACACCGTGGACCGCAATGCCGCATCATCATCATCATCAGCAGCATCATCATCATCCTCATCATCATCATCATCGTCATCATCAGCATCTGCTTCTTCTTCTTCTTCATCATCATCACCATGATCATCATCGTCGTCGGAGGTAGGAGATATGGGCGCGAGGCGGAATAAACGCGGAAGCCATAGGTTGGCGGGCTCACGCATCCCATTTTTGGGCCAGGCCCGTCCGAGGTGTATTGGCCCTGGATATGTGTTTCCAAGTCTCCTCGGAATGAGAAGCAAGCAGGCCACCCCGTATCTCATTTGTTTCTTTCTCTCACTTCCTCTCTCTGTCTCTGTCACCTCTCTCTTTGTATATATATATATATACATAGATTCCCCCCCTCTCTCTCTCCTTCCCTCTCCGCGAGGCGAAGGAGCCTCCGTGAGCTCCATCGCGGACCCCAGATCGCATATCTTCACCAGGTTGTGCCCTGGCGCAGCAAGGCGATGCACTCTTGTCTGCTATCTTCCTCTCTCTCGGGCAAGGGGGACTGGAAGGGAGGGCGAGTTCAAGGGGAGGGGGGCGCGGGAATAGGAAGGACGAGGGAAGAGGAGGGCGAGGGGGGAGATGGCGAGGATGACAGGGAGGAAGGGCCCCCAGACGAGCAGACGAGCTGGAGGAATGAGCCGGGTGCGCTCTGGTCTCCTCGTGCTCCTCCTCTTCTTGTCCCTTCCCTCCTCCAGCCATTTCGCGCCCGAGCGCCCCCCCCCCCTGCACGGGGCGCGCAAGGGTGTTTCGCGGGCAAACTTCGAAATGGCCCTGCTCGCGAGAGCCGACATCAAGAGGCGTGGCGCCCCACGTCATCAGCCACAATGCTGAGATCAGGCGCGAGCGCACCCGCCAGGAGACTGGGCTCCCTCCGCCCTCCCTTCGTCCTCTTGCTCCTCCTCCCCCTTCCCCTCGTCAGTTTGGCGAACTGCAACGCCGGCTATCCGAGCGCCGCGGCGGACGTGCAGGCAAAACATGGGCATGATCAACCACAGTGTAGGGATCAGGCCGTGCGAGAAGGCAAGCAGTGGCAGTGTGCGCTGGCGCTGCGAAGCAAGTGCGGGTCGGCCACGATCAGCAGGACCGCTGGGGGCAGCCCGTGGGAGAAAGGGGGCAAGCAGTGGCAGCCGACGCTGGCGCTGCGAGAAAAGTGCGGGTGGGCCACGATCAGCAACAACGCTGGGAGCAGCCCGTGCGAGCAAGAAGGCAGGCAGTGGCAGCAGGCGCTGGCACTGCGTCCAGATGAAGGACGAGCCCGATGCCGTCAGCTACATCCGACGCGACGTTGGAAGCCGGTGGCCAGGAGGGAGGCCGATCAAGGACGAGCCCGATGCCATCAGCCACAGCATTGGGATCGGGGCAAGGTGAAGACATGTAAGAAAGCCGAGCAGTGCACGAGTAACGTCATCAGTTACAAAGCTGGGATCAGCTCGGGTGCAAAGGCAAGCAGTAGCAGCAGGAGCTGGCAATGCGAGAAGGGCATGCAGTGGCAGCAGGATCTGGCATTGCGAGCAAATGTCAAGTGCATGAGCGGACATCTTCAGTTACAGCGCTGGGAGCAGCTCGTGTGCGAACGCGCAGAAGGGGCAAGCAGAAAGCAGGGGCGACGCATCATCAGCTACAGTGCTGGGGTTCGCTCATGCGCGAAATGGCCGAGGGTTGAAGCTGGAGCCAAATGCTATCTAGCTAACCTGCTCGGCACTGCGCGTGCGAGAAATGCTGGGGCAAACAATCGGGGCAGTGGATCGGTGCACCTCGATGGCTTCGGCGCGAAAGGGCAGGGGGAAGCTCTGTGGTCAGCCTCTTGCGAGAAGCGGGGGGTGAAGCTAGAGCCCAATTTCGTCGAGAGTTCCAGGACCCTTTGCGAGAAGCGGGGGGCAAAGCTGGAGCCCAAGTATATCAACTACAACGCTGGGAGCAATCCGTGCGAGAAAGGGGGCGCGCAGTTCCGAGAAGTGGGAGGCGAAGATAGAGCCCTACGGCATCTAGCGAACCTGACTGGCACTGCGCGTGCGAAAAGTGCTGGGGCAAACAATCTTGGCAGTGGATCGGTGCACCTCGATGGCTTCGGCGCGAAAGGGCAGGGGGGAGCTCTGTGGTCAGCCTCTTGCGAGAAGCGGGGGTGAAGCTAGAGCCAAATTTCGGTGCTCGTGGGGCCGTGGGAGGTCCTCAGCGGCAGTGCAGGGATCGGGCCCTGCGAGGACCGAGGAAGTGGCAGCAGGCGCTGTTGCCGCAGGGGGTCGGACGGGTTCTTAGCTACAGTGCAGAGATCAGCTCGTGCGAGACACTTCGTCTGACAGGTCGGCGCGGGGACGGCCCGATGCGCCTGGCAGGCTCGCGGGGGCGAATCCACGGGGCGTCCCTCACCGTCAGACCCGCCTTAATCCGCTCTAACCCTTCCCCCCTCCTCCTCCTCCTCCTCCTCCTCCTCCTCCTCCTCCTCCTCCTCCTCCTCCTCTTGTTCCACGTCCTAGTCCCTCTCCTACTCCTCCTCCTCCTCTTGTTCCTCGTCCTAGTCCCTCCTCCTCCTCCTCCTCCTCGTCCTAGTCCCTCCTCCTCCTCCTCCCTTCCCTCCTCCTCCTCCTCCTCCTCCTCCTCCTCCTCCTCCTCTCCTACTCCGGCCCCGACCCTGCCCCGACTCCATGCTCCCCGACACGGGTCCGAAGCGCGGACGTCCGTTCTTCACGGACCGAGGCCGCGCGGGAGAAAGCAGCAGCTTCCCCTCGCTGCAGCGCCGCGCACACTTTTGCCATGACGCATGATAGTGGCGCCCCTGCGCATGCTCGGTCGCAGGCCAGAACCGCCGCGTCTTGACGACACGTCGCCTCCTGGAGCGCATTCCCATGCGCCAGAAAATCCAGTAAACGTACGGCGGTCTCCCATGATCAATATGCGGCTGTGGGGGGGATCTGGCACCGTGCCGCTGGGCACGGAGTGGGCGTGTCCTCAGGTCCTTCGCCTCGTCCCCTGAGCCTAGTCTTTTGTCGGGCGTGTCACCTACAGGGGGATTTTCGACGAAAAATTTAAAAAATACCCCCCAAATGCCCCCCCAAAGGACAAACAAGTACTGACAAAAATAACCCTCAGGCTATTTTTGGATACTGTTTTGACTATTTTGAGGGTATTTTCATATTCTTCGTCGAGAACTCGACTGGCACACGAGGTCGGCAGCCGATCCGGTCGGCCGCCCCAGGCTGGGCCGCGACGCCCACTGCATTGCAGCGCTTCGGGCCGCAGCGGGCCGTCGGCGCATCGAAAATCAAGACCGAATCCAGGGCGGTATCAACACCCTGGCGCCGCCTCTGGCGGCGCCCCTGGGGCGTTCCGCGCCCCAGAGGGTTGGGGCGTCGTGGGCACGAATCCCCCAACATGCACACATCGTCGAGAATCCCCCTGTATGGGGGACCGGCCCGACTTGAGCCTGGCCCTCGGTGCCCGGGGGCTGCTGTACGAGCCAGGCCCCCGAGCTCCGAGCGGTCCCCGGGGGCTTGGCGCGTGCCCCGTGGGCCCCGGGGAGCGCGTGCTTCGGCAGGGGCCTCAGGGCACGCACACAGATACGCACAACTAGCACTGTTCCCCTATGATTTCCCATGCTTTCCCCATATGCTCCCCACAGGTTTCCCACAATCGCCCTGTTCCCCTATACTATTTCCTGTCTTTTGGGGGAGTTCTTCGTCTTCCCCCCCCCCCCACTTCCCATACTCTCCCACGTGTTCTGAGGGGACCGGCGAGGAGTTGTGCCTGCGCGCGTGTTGTGTGTGTGTGTGTGTGTGTGTGTGTGTGTGTGTCTGTGTCTGTGTCTGTGTCTGTGTCTCTGTGTCTGTGTCTGTGTCCGTTTTCTGTCCCTCCCGCGATTTTTTGTGGCATCGGCCCACGAGGGCCCCCCCAAGAGCCGCGCGGGGCGGCGCGACGGGGCCCAATGGGGCCCCCCAAGATGGGGCCACGGCGCCCAAGGCGAGCTCAGCACGGCCAAAGCTGGCCATCGCTCGGACGTCCATTCCCCGTGTTTTTGTTTCGGTCTCGTCCGTTTTTTTTTTTTTTTTCCTTCTCCTTTCGCCGAATGATCAAGGATGCTCCTAGATGGCCCTCGCCGAGAAAAAAAAGGCACACGTCCGAGCGATGCCAAGCCCAAGGTGAGCTCAGCACAGCCCAAGGGGCCCCCAAGAGACGCCCCCAAAAATGGCCGCCGGGCGGCCTCCGAAGATGGCCCCCAAGAGGGCAGCATCGTTGATGTTCATTTGTCCGTGCGGAAGACTGTTGGCCTTCGCGCCTCCTCGGCCCTCCGACGCCCCAAGACGGCCCCGGAGACCCCGAAGGCCGCTCTGAGACGGCCCGTAGAGGGGCCCCAAGGGAGCCTCTAAACGGCCCAAGAGGTGTCCAAGGCCCCCAAGACGGCCCCAAGACGGCCCCAAGACGGCCCCAAAAGGGGCCCAAGAGAGGGAACACCAACCGAAAATACGAGCCTTCCGCCCAAAGAGGCCGCCAGGAGGCCCCACGAGGCGCCCAGGAGGGCCTAAGAGGCACCCGGAAGCCCTGAAGAGACCCAAATCAGACCCCGAGAGCCTCACAACTGCCTCCATGAGGCCCCCGAAAGGCCCCCCCCCCCCCACGAGATCCCAACGAAATCCAACAGGCTTCATGCCCACAACCTGGGCACGGTGGCGGGATGGGCCGAAGGCCATTCGACCTGCTCAGCACGGGGCTTCATTCCTTCCCCTGTTCCCTTTACCTTCCCCCCTGCCCTCTTTCAACTTCTGTGTCCTTCCCCTTACCCTTTCCCTCCCCCGCCGCCACCTCGAGGCCCACAACCGCGACCGCACGACAGCTCGCGGTCGACCGATCCCGCCCGAGTCCTGCACTGCGTGCGTGGCGAGCGAAGTGGAGGGTCGTTCGGAGATGCGCAGATGAGCAGGGGAGCCCGGAGAAGGCATCGGGATACTACGGGGAGGGTGGGGGGGAGATGTGTAGAAGCAGCTGGATGGGGCAACATGTGTTAATTTTCGTGGCGCCGCGCAAGCACCTGCACTGATGAGAATGTTGTCTGGCTTGATGTCCGCGTGCACCAGCTCACATCCTCCACGCGGGGTGTTATACATTCTCCGTGGCTGGCGAGGAAAACTGGTCAAGTATCGCCACATATATCTGCTAGTTGGGACAAGGAGGCGGAGACACGAATCGATACATATATATATATATATATAAATCCACAAATATAAACGAGAGAGAGAGAGAGAGATAAAGAAACCACACATAGAGATAAACATGCTATAAACATACATGTGTATACACATATGTACATGTATGCATACGAATACATGTGAATGTTTGTTTGTATGTATGTAGATAAGTAGGTAGGTAGGTAGATAAGTAGGTATGCACCGTGTGCCGGCAACGAGCGCCGCAACAAACGCCAGAACAGCACACCCAGTTACATCCAGTTGCACCCAGTTGCGCCCAGTTGCATCCAGTGTCACTTACCTGCACCCAGCGACACCCAGCTACACCAAGTTATACACAGTTGCACCTGGTTGCACCTGGTTGCACCTTGCTGGACCTAGTTTCGTACAATTCTACAGCACTGCCGAAACTCCACTCTGATGCAATACCTGCGTTCCTCATGCTGCAACCAATCAGAATGGGGCTGCAAGCGCCCGTCCTCCGACAACCGAAAGAAACTTCTGTACAGCACACGCTTTTCTTACAGAATGTCCCCTTCCCCACCACCATTATCATCACCAACACCATCACCATCATCATCATCATCAACATCATCCTCATCAACATCATCATCATATCACCAACAACGCCATCACAGTCACCCTCATCATAATCATCATCATCACCATCATCATCATCATCAACATCATCATCACCACAACCATCACCAGCATCATCATCATCATCTTCATCCTCCTCCTCCTCCTCCTGCTGCTCCTCCTCGTCATCATCATCATCACCATCACCATCAGCATCGTCCTCATGCTGATCCTCATACCCATTGTGTTCATCACCGTCATGCTCATCATCAACACCATCATCACCATCACCATCACCATCTCCCTCATCCTCATCATCACCATCATCACCACCACCATCATCATCGTCACCATCACCATCACCATCGGGAAGGGCCATCCGAAGCCGTAATGGGCAGGGGGGCTCTCCGTACAAACAGCTGGTTTTGTACAGCATGTCTCCCGTCCCTGACATGTTCATCATCACACTCATCGTCATCGCAATCATCATTATCATCATCAGCAGCATCATCATCATCCTAATCATCATCATCATCATCATCATCATCATCATCATCATCCCCATCACCACCATCACCAACATCATCATCATCATCATCATCATCATCATCGTCATCATCATCATCATCATCATCTGCATCATCATCCTCCTCCTGCTGCTCCTCCTCCTCATCATCCTTAATCAGCGTCGTCATTCTCATCCTCATCCCCATTGTCATCAACACCATCATGCTCATCATCAGCATCATCACCATCACCATCACCATCACCATCATCATCATCATCAGCATCACCATCATCATCATCATCATCATCATCATCATCATCATCATCATCATCATCGCCACCACCATCATCATCATCGCCGTGACCACCACCATCACCATCACCATCACAATCACCATCACCATCATCATCTTCATCACCATGGGGAGGGGCCATCCGGAGCCGTAGTGGGCAGGGGAGCTCTCCGTACCAACAGCTGGTTTTGTACAGCATGTCTCCCGTCCCTGACATTTTCATCATCACCATCATCGTAATCATCACCATCATCATCAGCATCATCATCATCATCAGCATCATCATAACAATCCTCGTCACCATCACCTTTACCATCATAAACATCTTCAGCAATACAATCATCCACTTCATCATCATCATCGCCACCATCGTCAACATCGCAATCATCCTCATCAGCATCATCCTCATCCTCCTCAGCATTATCATCATCACCACCGTCGTCATCCTCATCATCACCTCCAACAGCATCCTCATCCTCATCCTGCTCCTCCTCCTCCTCCTCCTCATCATCATCATCACCATCAGCATGGACAACCTGTGAGGTCTGGGCAGAACTCTGTACAACACACTTGCTTTGTACACAATTCCCCCCTTCCTCGTCATTATCATCACCACCACCACCACATCACTACCATCATTATCATCAAGACAAGGAGCAGCAGGACGAGGACGATAATCAGAGAATGCGAAACGCATCAAAAGGAGGACGAGGCGAAGACGTAGGAGACGGACTCATCTTTCTTCTCCTTGACGCGAAATTTCTGGAGGTGGGAAACACGGAAACCATGATACGAAAGGTGATGACGAAGACGAGGGTTTCAGCACGAGGACAAGCTGGATCATTGCGCCATGCCGAAACGCAGACAGCATCCACCATCACCGACAGAGTGGCAACAATACAGACAACGCGAGGGACAACGCCTGCGACAATGTGACGTGAAACGGGGCACGTGAAGCGCTTAGCTGCCCCGATACGCAACACACAACACGTACCGTATCGATACGGAGCTCAACACGTAGGCTGAAAGCGTAGGTCCGACGCGATGCACTCGCCAAAACGTGGTCCAATACGTGGAGCCACCACGCAACGTAATTGACGCGGACGTCGTGAACACGGGAGGTGCTGCGTCTCAAAACGGGCGTGTCGAGGCAACTGAGGTGACGCGATGAGGGAGAGTCTGTGCGCCTGCCTCATAAGGAACGAGCAAGACATTCCCCCTCGCCATACGCAGGGCCGCGCTCGACCCTTGATCTCGCCCACACGATCTGGACTTTTTTGTTGCCCGCGGTGCGGAGCGCCATGGCCTCCGCAGGGACGCATGCGCAGCGCTTTCATCCTGCGCATCGTCTCAGAGGACCTGTCTCCGGGCACACGTTGCAATCGGAGATTGGGGCGTGAGCTCGCAATGGGACGGAGAGCCCCCCACCGGGAAAACGGTTTCGGTTTCGTGTTCGTGTCGTGCGTGCGGGAGAGGCGAAGCTGCGTGGGCGCGCGAAAGGAATGATGCCGCCATAGGCTAGGGACTGCGGAGCTGGTTGCCCGCCCCCCCCTGGCGCGCGGTGGCCGGGGGTGTCCCGTCGGTGGCGCTTCGGAGTCCCGTCGGTGGCGCGGGGTGCCCTGTCGGTGGCGCGGGGTGTCCCGACGGTGGCTCTGGGTGTCCCGCCGTGGTGTCTCGATGGTAGCTTGTGAGATCAGTTGTGAAATCGATAGTGAGATCGATAGTGATATCGCTTGTGTGATCGATCGTGATTGTGATATCCAGAGATCGAGGGTGATATCGATAGTGAGATCGATAGTGAAATCGATCATGACAGATCTTTGGCTGGGGGTGCCCCGCCAAGGCTGGGGGTGCCCTATCGTGGTGTCCCGATGCTGGCTCAAGAAATCTCTGGTGAAGTCGATCATGAGATCTCTTATGATATCGATATTGAGATCGATGCTGAGATCGATCGTGGGATCGATATCGAGAGCGATAGTGAAATCGATAGTGAGATCGATTGTAAAATTCGTGAGATCGATGGCGCCATCTCATCGCTATCACAGTCATACCAGTTGTGGTTAGTGGGTTTCCCTTCCCCCCCACATCCTTATCACCCGAAGGGTGAGCGTGTAGGTATCGCCGCGGAAAGAAACGGCAGAACGCAGACCGCCTTCTACACCAGCTACAGTGGAAGACATGCCCCACTCAACGTGTCCCCACAAAACTATGCAATAAGAGCCCCCCAGCCGGACCGTAGAAGATGTCACTATGGCCAACGACGAAACGAATACCTCCCCTCTAAACTGGCTGCACTGGGAAACACGCCCCTTACAAGTTATCCTCACAACGCCACGCAAACATACTCAGCAGACGGAGGTGGTCTCTCACCACAACAGACGACAGAACACATTCCCGCCGCTTGCATCGGCTTCGCTGGGCAACACGCTCCTCCTCCAATATATCCACGCAGCGCCCCGCAAAAATACTCCCCCAGCTAGACCTTCGAATAAGACAGCAACGAACGGCACAACGAATTCCCCCACCGACATATCCGCGCAACGCCACGCGAACATATTCTCCTATCCCTAGCTTCGAACACGATTGTAAAACTGAAAAGACAGCATATCCCCCTCTCCTAGAATGTCCATGCAGCGCCGCGCAAACATGTCCCTCCAGCTGGACCTCAAAACAATTTCACTGCAAGAATCGGCACGACAATTTCCCCCCTCGCACGATAACCACACAGCGCCACGCAAACGTATTCCCCAAGCTGGTTTCTAGAATTTCACTGCAACGCACGGCCTAACGAACTCCCCCCTCGCAGAATATCCTAACCACGCGACGCAGACATATTCCCCCAGCGAGACCTTGAATACCACAGCAAACAGATGCAAGAACGCACCTGCTCCCTCCGAACAGGTCGTCGCGACGCCAAACTAACAAAAGTCCCCTGCCAGGTTTTAGAATAGCACTGCAAGAACCAACAACTAGCATTCCCCCTGCGCAACATATCCACTCACCGCCACACGCGCATATTTTCTCAGCCGAGCTGCAAATACCGCGCAAACAACATCGTGAACTCACCCCTGCCACAATGCCCGGCGCCGGTTACGGGGCTGAACCCCCCCCTGCGTTTCTGAAGTTCTTGGCTTGCTGTCCGGTTTCGTTTTTTTGGTGGTTGGGGCGGCATTCGTTTTTTGTTGGGGGGTGGGGTGGGGCGGGGGGTTCTGTCTGAATCGTTTCCGAATCCGTTTGCGTCGCGGCCCACGTGTCGTTGCGTTTCCGTTTGCGTCGCGACCCCACAGAGTCGTGGCCGAAGGAGAATGGTTTGCAAACTGGGGGGGGGGGGCGAAAAAAAAAGTTGCGAACTCAAACTTTTTATTTTCTGCCCCCCCCCCCTCGCCCCCCCTCTCCCATCCCCCCCAAACCTCCCATTCCTCCCCTTCCCCCCTCCCCACCTGTCCCCCTCCTCCCAAGGTCAGCGCGGGGCTCTCGTCAGACTTCTTCGCAAAAGAACGGCGGACGGCAGGGAGGCT